CCATGTTTATGAAGGCTAAACGGAGGGTGTGTGGAGAAAGGGGGTCAGCAAAAATCGCTTATACACGAAGTTAGTGCACGAAGTTCTGCGAAGGTTTCTGGGATTTCGTTGCAGTCAGTTCTCCTACTGGCCCACCATTCCACGAACTGTCCACGAACAGCCTTGGGTTCTACGAAGGTCACGCGCCTTCCACGACGTTAGTAGAATAGGTTTTTGCAAAACCCTTTCTGTGCACTACGCTTCCGTTTGCCTTTGAGTTTATCTCCATTGCAATGGCAAAAAGCCAATTATCCAATGACCTTGGGGCAGGTTTGCCCCTATAGGCCTAGGGCCTAGGGTGGCCAATAGATTTTTCTCATGACCCTCCACCCATCCCAATCGATCGTCGATGTCCGCACGAAGGGGTATGGGAAGACCTTTCACTGGGTCAAATCGTACATGGTACATAAAAACTATTTAGAGGTCCCATTCTAAAGACCCTCCACCCATCCCAATCTGTCGTCGATGTCAGTGCTCAGGGATATGGATTCAGGTCTATAGTCTGTATATTTTTAGGCCTGTGCTGAAGGTCAATGACCTCACCTTACTGGATATGTAAAATTAGCTATATAATTTTAATGGGTCAGGGTCCATAATGACCACTATCATGGCCCTCCACCCATCCCAGTCGATCGTCGATGTCCGGACCGAGGGGTATATGAGGGTTCAGGGAGATTCTAGTCCCTAGACCTGTAGGGGAGAGTTGCCTCTGTATATGGCCAGGGTGCTTGGTCAATCTGGTCAGTACTATGAGCTTTAATTTTTCTGGGTCTTTGGACATTTAATCATGGTCTATCATGACCGTACTTTCATGACCCTCCACCCATCCCAGTCGATCGTTGATCACCGATGTCCGAACCAAGGTGTATATGGGTTCAGGGAGATTCTAGTCCCATGTTGGACATGTAGCTGTGATCCCATTCCCTGCAAGTCTGAAGTGCAGGCTTAACGAGGTCATCTGAGAACGATCACGTTTTAATTAAGACAGACCACGGTCTATTTAAAGCCTAATTTTCTGGGAAACCCCAACCCTGATCCCATTTTGTTGGTGTGATTGACCCCCAACCAGCGATTGTTGGTGTGATTGACCCCCAACCAGCGAGACCACCCCTCCTCCGATCCTCCAGCCATCCATCCCATTCGATCGATGGAGAGGAGAGGGGATTTTCAAGGTGTTGTGGTATGGTATATAGCCACTTTACTAAAATTGGATTTGTTTGGACAATTCTTCTGGAATAGAAGTTCTGTGGAGGGCTTCCGATATGGTTCCCTGAAGTTTTTGCGACATCCGTGACTCAACCAACCAACGATCGATGCGATGGATCGACTCAACCCAGTTTTAGGTCTGACTTTAAGGTCTAATGTATCAACATCAATTTCACCCATGACAAGGACTCACCTGTCAGATCAATTAAAGGACTGGACATCGAGTTGAGTGGGGGCTTTACCTGGTCCTAAAGTCACGTGACGTTACCTCCTAGTGTGATGACATCGAGCCTGGTCCTAAAGTCACGTGACGTTACCTCCTGGTGTGATGAGTATTATATATAGTCACAAGCCTTCAGGATTTCCTGACGGAAATGCTTAAAGGAATGTGACATGTCCACAGATTGTATCAGCTTCCATGCATAGTGGAGCAGCAGCTCAGGAAACACACTATGTGCAGACACAACATTTTGCTAGGTCCTGGCATACTTGGTTGATGATGTGGGCTTGACCTGCCCACGTGATGTGACTGCAGAGTACTGGAGCAGGCAAAGGCAACACTATGAGCAGCATCCTGTCCCAGTTTCTCTCTACGGTGACGACGTGCAAGTGAACAGACAAGGAGATAGCATCACTGCCGTGTACTTGTCCCTCACACTCTTCAAGCCGAAGAAAGTGCGTGTGTGTCACTATATGATCTTCAGCCTCAGGACGCGCCTCATTGCTGGATGCTTCACGCTCTGGCCACTGCTGGCCTATGTCGTTGGTCGACTCAATGCAGGATGGGATGGTGTTGGAGTGTCTCGGACTATGTTCGCTCTGGCTGAGATCAAGGGGGACTGGCCCTTTCTGCGCAAGATCCTGAGGTTTGAGCCAAGCTTCACTGGGAATCGCGTGTGCCACCATTGCAAGGCAACAGTGTTTCAGCACGATCATCCCTTTTGGGACTTCGACTCGACTGGGGCGGAGGTCACAACTCTGGAGTTCCTGGCGACAATGCTGGATGAGAGTTGCTCCCCTTCGCCGTTGGTCTGAGGGGGTTCTCTTGCAGGATGGTGCAGATATGCACCATGCACTGCGTGAACCGTGGGCTTTGCTTCACGGTCAACGGGGCACTGCTCATGACACTGGTGCGAGGAGGCTTCTTCGGTGAGCCAGCTGCACTGGAACAATGCCTCCTCAGGTGAGAACCTCCCAGCGCCGCTTCAGAGCAGGGCAGGTTCCTGTTTTGCATTTGCACCCCTACAGGTCGAAAGACAAAGTTGGCAACCTGACCCCTCATTGAATAGTGTTTTGGCAAGACCAACGTAACGTACAGTAAGCTTAAGGTCTTAGACCGGTAGGGACAGATTTTTCTGCTGCATGGGACAGGTAACCCTATGTCTTTATGAGGAGACTTGAGTCCATCAGACAACGGCAGAGCATCAAACCCAGGTGGACAAGTTTTGTCATGGCTCCTACTTTGTGGCGAAAGCCTGGAACTCCAGGGTGCTGTTGGAGTGGCTGCACGATTCTGCCTTAAAGGCAGCCATGAGGGACCTGCCAGGTCCAGGTGATGATACTTGGTAAAACTGGAGGGATGCAGATCTCCCTGCTAATTTCCACTGGACATGAACAGCTGGATCAGGGTCAGGGTAGACCACAGACCACCTCCACCTAGACAGGTCCATATTGGACTCACCAGCAAGTGGCTCCAAGCGGCAACCGCATGTGGCCAGATGACCCCTTGCTGGTGGTGAATCCACTGGCTTCGTCACTTAGTCTTCAAAATGAATTTGCCAGCTGGGGCTGGTTAGACCCCCAAAACCCATCCCAACCACCTTCTCAGGAGGTGGGCCAGGAGCCCTAGGGGATGGTCCACAGACCTTTGGATGGAGCCAGAGAAAGTTCCAGTGACTGTTCCAATTAGCTGCTCGATCATATGGCACCAGGAGACCCTGCTTTGGGTTTCGACCGTCCGGTCTGTTCCTGAGATGACGTTGCCAACCTCATTCTCTCCTTGCCCAAGGCAAGCTCTTTGTGAGTGGTTTGGCCTTTGTGAGAGATCTGGACGGTTCTTGCACCATAGCCTGAAGTGGTGGGGGGGTGGCAGGACATGTTCAGTTCCAATGTTCTTTCACTGATTGGGTGGCCTTTTTGGGTGGTGTTAAAACTTCCATTCAAGCACACCAAATGGCAGGTGGCTAAGCCAAGAACTGTGGTAGGATGTGGTAGGCATTGTCTTCAAAGATTCAAGAGCACACATGTAGGCATCAATGATGCCAGAACTTATCAGAGATCACTTTGATTGCTCAGGACGCAGGATCAGGCTGATGCCATCCACAGTGCTGGGAAGCGCTTTCTGCACCACCACATCAGCTGCCTCAAAATAGCCAACAGGACTTCCGTTGAGGGGGGCGTCGAATTTCCCTTTATCTTAAAGACTTCAACGGCCCCTTGAGACCTGAAGGGCCATTTGAGACCTCAAGGTCCCTTCGCCATTGTTGAGTCAGTTGTGAGGATGGGGCTGCAGTGCTGGTTCTTGAAGCCAAAGGCACACATGTTCTGCCACGTTTTGGCTCGCACCAAGAGAGAGCGATTCTTGGCTGAGTGTGTCTTTGGATGACATTGACTGGTCTTTCCTCTAGAGGAGAACTTGATTTGCAGGTTTGAGCTGGTAATTCCAGGTTCAAAGAGGCTTCACTGGTCTTTTGGGAAGAGGTTTCTGTGGTCTTTTGGGTCAATTAACCTGTTCTTTGCTCCCTGGATTTGAGCATCTCAGGACTGAACTCGAGGTTCTCGCATTGCTTCTCAGAAGAAGACACCATCGGGATGATCAAGAAGCTGTCATGTGCAATCTCTGGCAGACACATGGAAAAGTTCCTGGCCAAGATTGCGAGGCTCCGCTTGAAGTGTGCAAAGGCACGCATGCGCAGGACAGTTTGGCTCTCTGATTGCATAGTACCATTCAGGTTGGTTATTCTGCAGCATCTTCTTGTTGTGAATTTGGATGGCATGCGGCCAAGCCAAGAACCGCAGCTAGGAACCACGAATTTGCAGTTGGATGGCAAGTGGCTAAGCCAAAAACCGTGCTAGCATCACTAGCATGAGTGGAACTGGACTTGCTCTAAAATTGTTTTCCAGGATCGATATGGATCTGGTGTGGCGACGATGACATGGCAAGGACTGGCAGTTTTAGCATCTTCTGATGGCAAGCGGCTAAGCCAAGAACCGCAGCTAGGACTATAGAATATGCAGTGAACATGTGAAGGTTCACATACAACTCTGGTGGCGACGCCAGTGTGGTCATGACATAAGGGCGGTTCTTCCGACAAACGCGATGACCTCGTAAAACTTGATCGTTCTCAGATGACCTCGTTAAACTTGCACTTCGGACTTGCAGGGATATGTTTCGTGCATGAGTTTTGCTGCAGATTTCACCACACATAATTCATATAATAACACTTGTGTCATATCATAAATAATATAATATAATATAATATAATATATCATATTCTATCTGCTACTTCCCTTTTCACGTTCTAACCCATATTCTATCTGCTGTAGGAACAGGCAAAGTGGCTGACAGCACATAGAATACGTGACTAATTAGCTTTTGGGAATTAGTTCATATTCTATCTGTGGCTTTGTCACTATACTGATTAAGCCTGAGGATGGAGATCTTCGAGCTGAAGTGGGTTTGATCCTTCAAAAATCAGAAAATTCAACATTCCAGCTGCCATTGTTTGTCTCCACATGCGCACCCGCCACGTGACGCCAAGTGCTCCGCCAGCAACGTAGGCGTACTGAGCTGTGCCAGGAGTTGACCCTGCAGTTTGCCGGGCATCTTGAGCCGCGGGAAAACGGTGGAGGCACACCACTCCAGGGTGCACCTTGGCGATGTGCTCCACGGCTCGAACCCGGTGCGCTCCAAACTGGTTCGAACCCGGTGCGCTCGGTCTCAGGGTCCTATGTTCTTGAGCCAATTGAAGAGGGGAGACATCCCAAACACCCTGCACAGAGACTCGGCTGAAACACCAATGACCGGTCTCAAAGAAGGATTGCAATGTCCATTGGAAAAGGTCTGAGACTGGACTTGGGATCATTCCAAACGTGCGTTGACTGAAACAGGGCCTAAACCCGGACCGGCCTGAATCAGTCGTCTCAAACTGGGGAACTCTACGTGTGTGAATTCCGACTTGAGATCTAGTATATACGTCATTCAATTAATGTCTATAGACACTAGTCATTCAATGATGAAAATGTCTAGACATGCTCTCTCTAAGGGACTGGTGCTGCTGCTCCAAGGGGTAGAACCAGTCCGGCATTCTCAGCAAGAAGTCCTGCGCAACGTGACTCAGTGCGCTTTAGCGATCGACCGCGGCCGGGTCCACGCGGCCGGACGCGACCGCGGAGGGCGGAACTGCCTGGGTAACCCCCTGAAGGTCAAAAGCTTTCTCTCCCCTAATGCACCCAGCTGATCAAAAGGATCTCCATACCCTGATGTGTGTGTACTTTAAGGTGAACGGAGCTTCGATGGCACATCGACCTACCGTCCATGCCGATGGACCTCCATGCCATCGGGGTGGAATTCATGGCGTCCCAGGCCACGTCCGACGTCCACGTCCGACGTCCACCTGGAGGATCCGGTAGTTCTCTTTGCAAATCGCCTGGTTCCGTCTCAAGAAGCTTGCGGCATTCCTAAGCTTTCTTTGCGAGCTCTATATACATCTACCTCTCTCTCTCTATGTCTGTCTGTCTCTCTGTCTGCGTGCAAATCCAAGGATGTTGATATAACGGCTCTCTCTTTTCTGCGTCCGGGGATCTCCACAAAAAGAAATCAGTCACACAAACGTTAGCACTCGCCACAAACGTTCCGGATGTGGATTCCCTACTACAACAGTACGGTCTAAAATTTATATAAATTCATGAGTGGGTGAAATAGGTCAGATCTTCTGGCTGAAACATGTTGAAATCCAGGCGTCCGCAAGGTGATGATGGACAAGATCTCACTATGCACCGGCATGCAAAGGGTGGTGTAGTCGCGAAGGGCGATGACCTTCTCAAAATGAGCACCTCACTCGCGAGCCTCCATGTCCATATATGAGTTTATTTATGCAAAAGAAAGCAGCGGAGGGATAACGGATACAGAAACAATTCAAGCACCCAAGTGTCGATTCAATGGTGGTCCAATCTCCCAGTTTGGGAGTCATGTTCCAGTCGGTCTGGAGTTCTGACTCCAAGGGTTTGAATGCATTTCTGAACGCGCGCATCATGCATGGGATCGAATCGAAGCGGATTTTCCGATGGCACACCGGGTTGGACCCTCTAAACTTAGCATGTGATGCCAGGCATCAAGTTTGGACGATACATGCGTTGCTTCAACTTCCAAAAGGTGCTCAAAAGGTGCAGCCCAAGGCACGATTCTCCATGATGAGCCAGCCCATGCGCAGACCAGGCATCCTTTTCAAACCCCCTCCAAGAATGGAAACAACTCCAGCAGCACACTGTTGCTATCAACGATGGATGATATCAATGATATCATATGATACCCGTTCCATCCAACAGCTAAACAATGGCCACAGGACAAACTTGAGGTCGGGGGTTGGTGACGAAAGCTAGCACTAAATGGTTGCTTTTCATGCATGGGGATGGCTTTCGGGGATCCACCAGCGGCCTTGCGGTCTCCAAGTTTTGTCCATGGACGCCAGCCCGACGACAAATGGGGTGATTGGATTTCTGGGAGGAGAGCCCCATGCTCCAGGATGATATCAACGGTCCCACTGTCAGGCCTCCCAAAAAACATCCCGCTAGAGTGAAGTGTAACAAACCGCTTTTGCTGAATTGATGGTGACAGTCATTTTCTCAAAGCAAACAATTATAGTAATTAATATTAAAGTAGCAACTTTCACCACAGGTGCATATTCCTTGGATTTCCTTTGTTCAAAGTTCTTTTCGTTACCACCTGCCGACAGCGCCCACCTTCCCCCGCCAAGCATCCCAAATGGCTTCGAGAGCCCTGAGAGGACGATGGCGTTCGGGCGACCCACGTTCGTTGGAGCGTCGCGCATCAAAGCGCTATACATCCTCAATGAATGCGTGGCGTTGGTCAGGGTGTGATCAAGACTGGATCGTGGCGTTCATATGGTTCATGACTTGGACTTGGATGGATGTTTGGGCATGAACTGGTAAGCACTGAAAAAGAGAACCATGATTCAATTTACATTAAATTACTATAAAGGGCTTTGCAACTCACTTGGTTCATTCATGTGACTTGGTTTCTTCTGCTTGGGGCTGTATTATCTATTTATATCTCTTTACAAACCCGGCCCCTTATGCAAGCAAGGTGGATCGTGAAAGATTGCCACCAGCAGCAGGCATCCAGCTCAAACAAGGTAGCCGGCAGCCATGCCGACTCGCAAGAGGCCTGCGGCGGCAAAGCGGCCGGCTGCAAACAAGCGGCCAGCTTCAAGGAGGACCGGGGTTTGCTTCATCAGAAATGAGGGAACTTCCTAAACCCTGCCGAGTGGAAAACCCAATGTTTCCTTTGGGCTCAAGAGCTCCTAGCCAAGCCACCATGCTTCTTGAATCGGATGATGGTGCTAGCGATGATGCGACCCGACCGCTGAAGACACAGAGCAGAGCTTCATGCTCATCCCGATCAATTGATTTGGTAAGTCTTGTAACCAGAGAATGCACCTGCTCTCGCAGAGCTTGCTTTTCACAGTTCAAGCATGACATCAACAAATTGAAGAAGCTCAGGGAAGACTTCAACGCGATGGACCCTAGGGACAAGGACGGCTAGATCAACAACTCAATTGTTTTTGCTGTGTTTTCTGTTTGGTCCCCCAATAGAAAGAGATAAAGATCGCCTTCCCTGTAACATCCTGTAATACCCCCAAGCAAAAGCATAGGAACTGTGGGTGGTGGAAACCTACAACGTTCAACACACTCGTCGCCGTGTCCCGGGGATGCCTGCAGAGCAGCCAGATAAAGACGAGGAGGTTCTTCTGGCCAGCGATGATGAGATCCTGCACGCTTCTGACAGTGAGGTGTTTCATAGTTCTGGTGAAGAGGATCTTCAAGTGTTCATGAGTTCAGGTGATGAGAAGCAATCTCCACCCATCAGGGGGTACAGATCCAGGAAACCAGTGGGTTTGGAGATCTTGGGGCTTCCTGTGTGCACGCAATCCCATAAGCGACTGATGGGCGTTGGGAGTAGCATCATCAACAGGATCCGGGCAGGGGATGCAGTGTATACAAACAAGAATCGGCCTAGCCATGTTCGTCACCCTACGCTGGGCTACTCTCTCGAGGCCGCAAGCAAGCAGAATGTGAAGTGGCCACGGTGCTTGATGTTTCTGTGGATCATCTATCACTCGGTTGCCGAAGTGATGCCGGATAAGTTCGAGATGCCGCTTTCCCAACTTGACGCTTCTAGGGATGAGGATTTCCAGCAGAGATACATCACCAATTTTTTCCAGAACATTGACCAAGCGTATGCCAGTCTAACCACACAGCCCTCTGGGCCTGGTACCATGCACGGTCCACGCCGGTACTTGCCTCACGGGCAGGTGATCGATCTGTTTTGGGAGTATGTGGCATTTGAGAGCTATCATGGGCATCAACCAGCCTCTCTAGCAACATTTGCACGTACATTCAACAAAGTATATGGCTCCAAGCACCTCCGCTTCAGAGAGTGCCATGATTATATGTGGTAGTTTTAAACATCATTTCGGAAGTAGACGGTTTCAGTTTGACTTGGTACCTTTCTTTGGAACCCTCTTCTTGGTCGCTACCAAACTTCTAAGGGTGGCAGAGCATGCCCAGTGTGATTCTTGCTCCAAGTACAAACAGTCCATTGGTCAGGCACGCACTGCTGATGAAAAAACAAGGCTTCAAAGGCAATATTCCGGCCACTTACTTTCACAGTGGCTGGACAGACAGTTCTATTGGGCTGTCCGCTCTCTCAGCCAAAGCTTCTTCTCCACCCAGATTCACTTGGTGAATAAGTGGCTCATGTCTAATTAGCCATGGAAGGAGTGTGCCAGGACCATCCAATGGGTGTCCAATGGACTACCCTTTGTCTACTTAGCAGTCTGCATTGGACGCCCATTTGATGGTCCAGGTAGTATTTTTTCAGGTCACCCACCATTTTGTCTGTCTGTGAGGTGTTTATCAACTAAATATGGAGCGGCTTCAATACTGAGGCTAACAATGCAGCTGTTGGAGAGCTCCATCAATGCCTTGTGCATTGATGGAATGGACCAGTCGAAGTTGAAGACCCCTCGGCTTGGTTACAAACACCGGGCTTCCAAAACATTTGAGAAGCTCTACCGGCCAACACTACACCTCACGGTGTGCTGGCTACACGGGCACATGATTGAGATGGCCGTGGGGGATGAGGATATGAAAAAGAATTCGGAATCCCAAACAGAGATCATGGCAAGGTGCATCAACAATGCTTACCATGAGTATGGTGGATTACCAGCCGGCCTGCATTTGCAGGCCGACAACTGCTTTCGAGAGCAGAAGAACCAATACATCATGTCATGGGCATGTTTGCTGGTCACAATGACAGTTTACCGGTTCGTACAGTTGGGATTCCTGAGGACTGGCCACAGTTTCTCTTTGTGGTTTGATAGGAAACCTTTTGTTTTGTTTTGGTATTTATCATATTTCTTTGTTGGGCTTATACGGTCTTGGTCATTGAAAAAAGACATCTCAGGTCATGATGACTGTGACCAGGTCATAGGGCAAATTGCGAAACTCTTGGCTGGCGTCTCTTTTGATACCCCGGATGAAGCCATAGATCACATTAACAACCTGACCGCCCGGCCTGCTGCCTCTGCCCGAGATGGGAAGAAACCTCGGACGCTTCACAAAACCAGAGCGTGGGCGTACAAGTTGGACGAAACAACTGAATGGAAAAAGTGGGGAGCTCAATTAGCAATAAAGGTCAAGGGACTTCGTAGCCTGGTTGCAAGGAATGCGAACCCTTCAAAACAGCTGACATCATATTAACTTATTGTTTCTTTTTTTGGCCATGGGGAAGCATGTGTAATCCTGAGCCCTGAAGGTAGAGTTCACTACATGCGGTTCACCCTCCGTTCTGACATTGGCCAAGCTACACTTGACACCTGCTCATCATTCAATGATTTCACCCGGACACCAAGGGCTGGCGGGGATGTCATGCTCATCACAAAACGGTGGCTGGCCGACAATGAGATCTTGCAAATTTTTGCTTTGGTCCCTGAAGCCACGGCTGCAGAAATGCGCCGAGGCATCCAGAGACCCACTGGTGTTGCAGCTAGGCGTGTGATATCAGACAAAGTAAAAGGTAGAATCCGCAGAGAGGCAAGAGCTTGCCTCAATCATGGAGATATCAGCCAATCTGCCCATGACTATTTAACTGCTTGGGCTTTTGGCTCTTTGGTCAAGCGGCCAAAGCCTGCAATGTACAGCTTCTTGAACCATTCATGGAAACAGGATGGTGTCCTCAACATGAACGCTGGCATTTATGTGCCCCCAGCCCGGAAAAGAATTTTTGATTTGGACCCTGGGGCGATTGACTCTGGGGAAAGTTCAGCGGAGGATAATCCAGACCCAATCACAGATGAAGCTTGACCCATATGTTGGTTTCACCGGAGATCGCTCAGTGCTTTGAGAAAAAAGGCTGGCTGGCTGACAATATCTCACATCTCACCTCTCACATGCTTTCAGTATGCCAAGAAACTGACTGGACAGCTCATCCAGGACAGCGGAGCCCGAGCCTGACGAGAACATGTTCCAGAGCTCTGACAATGAAGAGCCAGTAGTTTCTCGGCTTTGATGGTGCTTCTTGCTCAAGTCAAGTGAATGAAGGTATCAGCTCAAGTCACCTAAGAGTCATCGGTACCAGTCAAAAACATTTCAAATGCAATGACAACCAATGAGCGCCCAACTGAGAACCTATAGTCACTGAGAAGATTTGAGACCCTCATGCCTAGGAATCTGGAGGCCACATCTTTGAGGAATCTGAAGCGGAGGCTCCAAAGGACATGGACAAGGCCCAGGACGCACCGGCTGCCATGGATGAAGTGATGGAAGAATCGGAATGTGAACAAGAACAAGGAACCAATGAGGCTAATGATCTCCCGGATTTCCCACCAGATCTTTCCATTGGGGTCTCATGTCAGCAAGAAATGAAAATGCAACACTGATGGATAGATAAAAGGGGGAGATTATATAAGGAGTCAAAGAGATATATTTTAATACATGATGGTATAACCAGGATTATGAGAAGATATGGATACTAATAGATAGATGGAAGCCAGGCTCCTGCCCTTCCAAGGTTGAAACCTTCATGGAGAGAGCCATGAAGGACCAGCGCTTTGAGTCACTGCGTCGCGGCCTGCAGCGCATGGCCCAATGCGTACGGGCCCGGAAGGATGGGAAGCTTCGGATTGGCACTATCTGTTCAGGTCTTGGGGTGCAAGAGATGGTGTCTGAAGCTTTTGAAAAACTATGGAATGAGTTATTCCCAGAGCTGTCCATCACGGCTACCCGGTGTGGGAAAAAGAAGAACGTGTAATGTAATCTAGTCTGGAATCAACTGTTGGGGTTTTGAAACTTGTTTTAAAACTTGTTGATTTATGTTGATGTGGCCTTCGCCCTATGCGTTCCAAGGTTGAACATACTTTCCTATGTGAGAACGATACCAACAAGCTTGAATTTCTTTACCGGGCTTTTCCTGATGCTTGCCACATCTTCACAGATATGGTCGATGTTGCAAAGGGTCGTGCCAGGGACTTCAAGAAGTTGGGCCATCCATTCATGCCAGTACCAGAGGTCAGGAGCCAGTCCAAACAAAACATGTTGTTGTTTAGTGAGGATCTCCTTCTTCCACTCCCGGGTCGACGTGGTGATATGGCATGTTTTCTCGCTCCCTCAGGTCGACCTGCTTGTGTCCGGCTTCCCATGCGTCTCCATCTCCATGTTGACGGTGACCCCAGGATCCATCAACGACAAGACATGCGCCAGTGGAAATGGGTTTTACTGTGTGCAGAGTTACGTGAAGAAACAGAAGCCATCACTGATCCTACTAG